CAGCCCCCCCGGCCCAGCTCCGGGGGCACCGGGCGGGCCCCCCCCCCCCCCCGCCCCGGCGGACTCACTCCAGGAACCTGGTGATGTACTCGCGGCTGCAGCGGGACCAGGTGAGGGGCGCGGTGTCGTACAGGAGCTGTGGAGACATGATGGAAGGCCGTTTCCCAACGGGCTCGCAGTCATTGCCGCTTCCGTCGTGCTGAATCCCAAAACTGCGTGAGAGCACAGGCCCCGGGGGCCGGTGAGCCACGGGGCCACGGGCGGCTCTGCCTCCAAACCCCGTGCGGCCTGCGGGGCCGACGCCTCTCAGAGCCTCAGCCTCCCGAACCCAGTGCGGGCGGGACGGCCTCCCGAGCCTGAGGGGTACCCGCAGTGACAAGCCGCGGGCATGGGGGGGCGACAGCTGCCCCCACAATCGCACGGGGACCGGCAGGGAAGGACCCGGGTCCCTTCTGTGCACTAGGATGAGGAGTGTGCCCAGAGAGTGCCCGGGACCCCGCCCTGGGGAAGGAGAGGGAGATGCTCCGTGCTCAGCGCTAACTGCACGCCAGATGCCATGCTAAGCGCCTTCTGAAACCCCATCTCGCCCAGTCCTCCGGGGAGGCCCAGAGACGCCCAGGAACTGGCGGAGGTCACAAGCCGGGGAACGGCAGATCTGGGGCGGTCACTCAAGGAAGCGAGAGCACGTGAACGATGACCTGACACCTCTGACCAACAGGTCTCTGTGGGCCAAACGCCTCGTGCAGAGGTGCCAGCCGGGGGTGCCCGGAGCATCCCTGAGCCAACCTCCTCGATCAACGAGGGGCACACAAAAGACCAGAGAGGGCAGGGCACTGCTTGAGGTCACAGAATGACCAGGAACGCGGGTATGGGGGCCGCGCGCCACACAGGCACGGAGCGCACCGCGGAGGGACAGCCAAAGACGGCAGTGACTTTCTGGCCGTCTCGACCCCGTGTCAGCCAGGACTTGGTCGGAGCCAGCCCCCCGGCACCCGCGTGGGCCTCCCCACATCTGACAGGGGAGCAGCCTGGCTGCGGGTGGGGAGGGCGCGGGGAGGGCGCGGGGGCGGCACGGGGCCAAGCCCAGGCCTGCTTCCCTGGGGTCCTGGGGCCCGTGGCCCAGCTGCCTGGTGACCCCGGGTTGTCAGGGAAGCTGGGTCGTTAGTGCGGGAGCAGGGGTGGGGCGGTACCTGTGTCCGAGCTCGTGGGCCACCGTGAAGGCCAGCGGCAGGCCCGTGTCCTCGTTGATGTTGCAGCTGCGGTGCGGCTGGCACATGCCCGCCACGTGGGACAGGCCCAGGGTCTCACAGGGCCGGTTCATGGCCGCACACAGGTCCTTCCTGCGCACAGAGAGAAGTGGCCCTCAGGCTGACCCGGCCCGGTGCCAGGCCAACCCAAGCCTAGATGGCCCAGATGCTGGGTCTGAGGGAGGGGGAGGGGGAAGGGGAGGGGGAGGGGGAGGGGGAGGGGAGGGGGGAGGGGGGGAGGAGGAGGACTGCTTCAGAACAGATCTGCAGG